CGGAATTTGGGTCCGTTCGATCGGTGGAAGCGGTCCGCGTCCGCATTGATGAATGCTCGCTTTTATAGAATGTCGTGTAGAAAGGGAAAAAGAAACCCAATTTGCGTACTATATACATTATTATATTTGTAACGGGTGGATAATGTTAGAGGTAAATTATATTTATCCTTCCTAAGATTTAAAAGCGTGGCATTTATCCCCCTAGAAGTTTTGTGCCCTCGTTAACTCCCTCCAATATTCCTATTTGGTGCATTTATTACCCAATGGGAACGAGATGGCCCCTTGAGCTGTTTGTTTCGATTTTTTTGAGCTTGAAAACCTGTCACAGATAGGACACCGTGACAGGCTTCCCCAACCTTTTCCCTCTCAAAAAAAAAAAAGAAAAGAAACAAACAGCCCCTGAACTTTTCAATTCTCCTTTTGATATTCATATTATGAATATATTAACCCCAAAATATTCCCCCTCCCCCTAAATATAATATATTCACGTGTACAATACATGCTATTAGGGATTATATATTTCTCAAATTTTCACCTGTTTTCTAGTTCATTATAATTTGTTTGCTCTTCTAATATTCCAAATCTTTTTATTTGTTTCCTCTTTGATCTCTATTACAAATGTTATATTGGGGTGAAAAAAAAATTTAACTGTACCTTCAAGCACAGAGCAATTAATTTCCGCCTGGGAGAAAAGGGAACACGAAACAAATTTTGGTGGGATTTGTACCATACATTCAAACCTTTGGGAGGCATAAAAGCAAGCAATTTGCCCTGACGTTAGCACGCCCGGTTCGCGTAACAAAAGGTCATGTAGCTTACGACATTTCCGTAGGATACTTTTGGCATATGGAGTGTCGGTGGATGTGGGGCCCGGTACAAGTGAGACGGGCGCCTTGCTACGTAGGCGTCAGCTTTACCTTTTACTGCCACCAGCTGTCCTTTTCAAAAATGACGGATGTATCCGTGTACCGCCGCTGGGGTGTGTATTTACGGTTTTCAGCGCAAGGTTCTTACCTATTTGCTGATGCCAGTTAAAAGAAAGAATGGTAAAAAAGGGGAGGACGGAGACAGACAAAGGGACAGCGTAAAGCCGCGTGTTTTGCTGGGGCCCGGGGTGTTGCGGGGAGATGAATCCCACGACGAGTCTATGACACGTGGGAGGTAAAATAAATAGATTAAACTAAGAGGAGGTTTTACACGTACAGACTTAGTACGATGAACATATTGCTCATGGCATCTTCCTCTTTCGTATATTTTACATTTCCTCCTCCGCTTCACGGCTGTATAATAATTTTAATTTATCACCAACGCATCACGCAATTGTCATACATCTGAAAATGGCCACTTACCTCGTTTGATTATGATATTGCAAATGATTTTTTTATAAACATTTTGAAGAGTTACTCATCTGGTTACTAAATAGTTTTTTATTAAGAAAAAGAAGCTTTTTATCAAAAAGAGAGAGAGAGAGAGAGAAACATAAACTACTTAAGTTAAGATGTACCATTTTGACATACGTCACCTACTTGGTAATATTAAAATAAAATATATCCTCATAAGAACAGATGTATGTTACGGTTGTTTGATCTTATAAATGTATAATATTGGCCGATTATAAATTAGAAAGCATGTTTCATGAGATAACGTTATTATAAAAGATAAGACACAACAAAATGATTCTAGCTCCCATTTTCAACCCTTTTTCTCATTAATCTTAATTCCCAAAAGAACTTGGAAAATAAGCAAATTTAAAATTTGCATAGCATGCATATGTAGTAAAATATAAAAAATACGAAAATAAAATATCTCAGAGGGTGTAAACTATAAAGCAGCAACTTTGCATAGCATGCATATGTAGTAAAATATAAAAAATACGAAAATAAAATATCTCAGAGGGTGTAAACTATAAAGCAGCAACTTTGCATAGCATGCATATGTAGTAAAATATAAAAAATACGAAAATAAAATATCTCAGAGGGTGTAAACTATAAAGCAGCAACTTGCATAGCATGCATATGTAGTAAAATATAAAAAATACGAAAATAAAATATCTCAGAGGGTGTAAACTATAAAGCAGCAACTTGCATAGCATGCATATGTAGTAAAATATAAAAAATACGAAAATAAAATATCTCAGAGGGTGTAAACTATAAAGCAGCAAC